TAAATTAACTACAAAACGTGGAAAATACACAATTGATGAGGAAAGAATGAATGCTATACGACGATCAACAGATCAAACATGTTGAATAAGGAGTGGTGCTGTGACATTTGTGACAATAATCATAATTACACTCTTAGAGGTAAGTGGATGCATCTAAAAACCAAGAAGCATCAGAAAAATACAGAAAACGAATAATTTTCTTTTTTTCTAAAATGTTTTATTTAATACGTAAAGGTGGATTAAATAAGATATAAAAGATATTCAGTTATATTCTATTATTATGGAATCGAAAGTTATCAAATTATATAACATGAAAAAGCTGATCTCAAAAAGCTTAGCAAATCACAGTTAATAAAACTGTTGTTGAAGCAAAATTTTGAACCAGAAAGACCAGTACCCAAACCAAGGATAAAACCAATTCCAACACCACGGAAAAATGTTAAACAGATGGTGCAAGAATTTGAAGATAATATCATTCCTCCACCAGTTGAAATTAGAGATGGGTGAAAACCAACCCTAATACCCAGAAAAAAGGTTGTAGTACCAGGTGCAGCACTAAGGACAAAAATAGAAGGGAAAAGTAAATCTCTCAAAGAATATACTAAATCATTTAAAATAGGTGTGAACAATGATACAGATCCATTTAAACAAAACACTGGAACAAGAAAAGCCATTCAATACAGACTCGCACAACTGTTGGGTGAAATGAAAGGTTTGAAATTTGTCGAGACTTTGATCATCACATTTGAAAAGATCTCACAAGATGTTGTCATTGATAAACAGCTTATTTTAAAAGTTCACCCAAAACAATAACTAACTTTGCTGATCTTGAAGATGATCTTGTGATTTCAGGTCTTGAATATCACAAGGCTCTGGTCAGATTATTAAATCATTTGATAGACATTGGATCAATATTATTCGATATAATCCTCTGAAAGGATTATCATACATTAAACTACCATCAGAATTAAGAAATCCAACCAAAGGCTTGATTAATATAAGAACTAATGACAACAAATGTTTCCAATGAAGTCACATCAGACATATGAATCCACAAGAAAATAACGCAGAGAAAATAAAAAGAGAAATAAAAATATGTTGACGAGTTGGATTATTCAAACATTGAATTTCCAAAATCTGTGAAGCAGTACAATAAAATTGAGCAGCAGAATAACATCAACACAAATGTATTTAGTTATGAAGAAAAACAAGCCTTTCCAATCTACGTATCAAGAAAAAAAAAAGCATTATGTACTCATCAAAGATTTCAAGATGTTCATGTATCACGAAGCAAAACGTCAACACAGAAAACACTTTTGCACGTACTGTTTGTAATGTTTCAGCAGTAAGGAGACACTTACAGACGAAAAACTGACTGTATCGTGATAAATGGAAAGTAGGCAGTAAAAATGCCTGAAAAGGTAATAATACATTAAAATTCAATAGTTCTCACAAACAATTGCCAGTACCTTTTCTTATCTACGCAGATTTTGAAGCAATAACAGAAAAGGCTCACACATGTGTACCAGATAATCATGAATCATACACTGAAGCATACTAGAAACACACAGTCTGTGGATATGGTAATAAGGTAGTTTGTTGTTATGATGATAAATACAGCAAGCCAGTTTAAATAAACAGAGGAGAAATTGCTGTCTTTAAGTTCATGGAAAAGATGATTAAAGAAGTTGATTGCTGGAAAAAGAACGTTAAGAAAGCATTTCAATAACTATTGAAAATGTCTGATGAAGATGAACAAAAATCTAAGCAAGCCAAAGAATGTCACATTTGCGGTAAATCATACACACAGAAAGATATCAGAGTAAGAGACCACTGTCACATAACAGGTCAGCTCATCAAATCACTTCAGATTTAAGGTTGATGAAATCAAAATACCGGGTATCTTCCATAATTTGAGAGGTTATGACAGCCATTTCAGTATGCAAGGGATTGGTGAAATAGCAAAAAATACACATACAAGACAGATGTATGTGTATTATGACAACAATCAGAAACAACTTATAATGAGAAAGAATCCAGCAATCCAGGATGTTTATTTCTCAATAATTGACATTCTGTCCACGCATTACCATCACCGAGTAGTGACTCATCAGATTTCATGCAAGCATAATGTTTCTGAATCGAAAGGTAATGTTGCAAAGGTCACAGAGATTTTCAAAGAATGCGAGAAATTCCTTGCTTTAGAGAACAAACGTCGAAGTTATCGAAAATAATTGAAATATTTATCGTATATACGTGAAAAAAACGAAACTATAGAGCAGCTGACCATGCGTAATTCTTTCAAAAAGAAAACACTGAGGTTGAAGATACCATTTCCAAGCAACAGTAAAAAAGAACTGCTACTGGAACAAGTTTTAACATTTGAAGTGTCCCTAAGCATAACTTGTGATTCCGTTGTGATGGATGTACCGCTTATGATCAAAGCATGATAATGATATTTTGTTTAATTTGTAACTACTGAGTTGATGATTTATACTTCTGATGGTTTTCATTTTGGGGTTTATTTGTTGCTCGTTGAACAGAAAGTTTTTGTAGTCTTCATATTTGATGTTCTTTTTTATGACATTTTTAAAATACTTTTTGCTGTTTTACCACATTTTTCATTCTCTTTAATATAACTGTCACGATTTCAAAAGCTAGACTGTCGGTGTCTCTAGATAGTTTTAAAATACTATATTTGCCTGCTTCTTAATTAAATTGTGTCTATTAATAATTTTTATCTTTCTTTAATGACAGGTATCCTAGTGTTTTAAGAATGACATATTCTTTTAGTTTTTGAATAGCTACAAGATTGTCATTGACAATTTTACTGCTTACAAATGTTGATTTGGAGCTGTATTTCAATAATTTTTTTTCATCATTTATTCGTTTGACGTCTAATCTTTTACAAATGTTTTCCATTGTTTTGCCAAATACGCTGTTATTCATAAGCACATAGAAAATTTTTTTAAGATTCATTTTAAGCTGCAGTTCTTTCCTGTGTTTAAATCAACATACTGCTTCAACCAAGCAGAATGATTGTATTGTACAACTCTATGAACCTTCTACAGCTTTAATCCAAGATCAAGATACAGTTGAAGGTTTCTGCAGTGAAGTACATATTTTTGCTTTTCAGATAATGTTGGAACTGTGTAAATTACCTAAGGGCTGTTGTGTCATGTTGTTATAGTTTTTGTGAATAGGGACCTTTAGCAGTTAGGACGCTAACGCCAAGGAAGAAGTCGATTTAAAAATGAATATATATTTTCAGTGGGAATTTCGCGAATGACTGAATGTGCTAACCATTTCTTATGGTGTTCAAAGTTAACCTTAGCATAAGGTATGGGAGCGGCGTTGAGTTCCATGTTGAAACTTAAGTAATTTGGCGTCGGGGTTTTTTTTCTCGTACCATCCAAATTTTGATGCTTTCACGTTGTTATTTTCCAGACGACGGCTAAGAAACGTACACAGTTTCGAAAGGCACATGCTGAGCTATTGTTCTGTTCGTTAGATCTTTCGTTTTGTGACTTCCTCGTTTCTGTCGTCGTCATGGTTTGCTAAAGGTCTCATATGAATTTGATAGGAAACGTTATACTACAATTGACCAATAAACTAGCGCAATGCCATAGGTATTTTGCAGTGTCAAGCGGTACTATTAAGGTAGAAGCAATTCTATTAAAAACTATTTCCCTACCGATATCCTCCTGGTTCGATTTTCTCAACAGCCACCTCATTTTCGGCGTCAACATCACTGCATAGAATGCACCAGCAATTACTAACCCCATCAAAAGGATTCTTTTACGTTTTACGATAGCCCTAACTGGAAAATTCATTTCGTAATACAATATTCTTGCAACTTCTCTTTGTTTCGATGGAAGAAGTCTTCCCAGTTGATATTAACGCACACTTAAGCTGGCGAAATGAAGATTCGTAAATGGTATTCGTGAGCTTGTGTTTCGTGTCACATGACGAGTTTTGCGCCGAAAAAAAAAACATGCAAATTAGCCAACTTTATATTGAATGTGCAGCCAGCCAATTTGCATAAATAGTTCAAGGCAAGGTTTGAAGTCTGTCGTTGGCATGAGGTGTTCACTGAACACACCAGGTCACCCGATAATCACCACAAAAAAAAGTTGATAAAGCTCCCCTCGACAACAATACGCACAGGTGATCAGAACCTTTGATCAGCAAAGTACAACACTTCACCGGACCCAACCCACTATTGACCACATCGGTTTCTCGTCGTTTGTCTTTTTTGCCGTTTCGTTGTTTCGTCAGGGCTTCATCACTTCACCGCTTCATCGCTTCATCGTTTCGTTATGCTGTTTTGACGTTTCGGCTCCTCCTCTTATCTAGTAACACACCTTGACAGAGTTTTGTATTTTCTAGCACGTGCATCTTCGTTATTTAACATTCCCCTCAGCTGGAGTGTTTGTTGCATAGGGCTCATCAAATGTTTGTTGTTCTTGGTGGTAATGACAACTCATTACAAAGGCGGTTGTTTAAGTTTACAGGATGTAGGGGTCGTCCCAGCATAGATATCCCTAGAGAACCTCTAGAACAGTATCTTTAAAACAATTTTTACTATTGAAAAACTGCTCGACTTTTCTCTGTGTGTTCCACGACGTATTATTGAATATCAACTCCACTTTGAAAAATACAGTTCTCTAACCGACGCAGGATTGGATGATGCTATGTTAGTATGAATTCTTCCATTGTCACATCTGGGATTCCTATGCTTGCATTATCTTCATATGCATGCCGGTGAATTTATGTTGGTTTAGCAAAATTTACGGCTGAATGCTATTTCCAAGAGCTTAGCAAAGTGGCATGATTTTAATAAGGGAAACAACATAACCAATGCCAGATGTAAGAAAACTCGTAGATTTACAAATTAGCAATAATGACATCTTGACCAGGAGTTACTTGTTATCCAAGGTTTTATTTTGGATGTTTTAGTATAAACATTTACAGACTAATGTTTCTGTAATTACATGTATTAACAATGTATTTTTAGATGATGTCACAAGCATAGAACTTAAGTAAATGAAGTATTGGTGAACCAATACTCAAAAAAAATCTTAGTTTTTTGATTTTGTAAAAGGGGAAGGGATGAGGCTGTAAGTTGATCTCAGCTCCTATAGTAGCAAGGAGACTATGAAGAAATCCTAGAGTGATTACACAACAAGAAAGTTCCTGTATTTTCATTTTCTCATGGGAGAAGGGGGGCAGTGCAGTCCCCAAAACCCCATCCCTGAAGCCACCACTGAAGCCACCACTGAAATATCTTTTTCATGCTTCACTTATCTATTTGTTCAAAAGCTCAGATGTTCTGAAGACCATTCCCAGATGTGGGTATTGGAACATGTGTGGGCACCTTCATCCAAGAGGTCATAAAGTGCAATGGGATCGTATTCAGGACAGCATGAGAAGGTTGTGTCTCGAAGAAATTTTAATGTGGGCGTTACAGCTTATGGCAGTCAGATGCAGAACTTACTTTGTCCAGGCCCCGCTTTCACTGTGGCATATCAATGGAAACCACAAATTAATAAGGTAGCTACTGTCTGTTGCAGGTAATCACAAATCTTCTATTTGTTTGGCAAACATATGAATGATCATGGTGTCAAGACCCTCAATAGCTGATAAACAGTTTTCCATGTAAGGAAAATTAGGTTGCTTTATCCAAGAAATGTTACTGATTCACCAAAGAAGAGCAAAGCTGAACAGGCAGTTTGGCGTAATATTTGAAAAATTATTTATTTAATATTTGCATGCACAATTGATGCACCTTTTTAATGTTCTCCTGAAATTGAGTGTAATGTGTCCACTGTCCTTAAAATGTTTGTCTTTTAGTGCTTGTGTTGATGACTGATATCAAGCAAGCATGTCTAATTTATTTTTAGGTGGGGGTTTGTAATACAGGGTGGCATAGATGGATACTCAGACTTATCATGTACTTGCACTGCAGTTGTAGCAACAAAGTAGCAGCTGTCCTTCAACTTTTAAATTCTGCAGTTGAAGAAAATCAAGACTGCAAGCTGACTAAGGCATGGAAAACATTGACGTCTCTTGGTATCTACAAACACATCCAGATAGAGGGCCAGATCATGAAAGGTTTATTGCTGAAAGAAGTTGCCATAATCAGCAAATTGAGCATCGAGAGAGTTGTTTTCTTAACCTTTTTGACCATATAGAATCTGAGGGACTTTTGGACATTGACTTGATCTCTACATGTTTGTTTTAATAAATAAATAAATGCCCATCTTCAAGAGTTTACAGAAGGGTGGAATCATCACCCTCTATCCACAGAGGAAATTATGTCTCCAACTCAGTTATGATTATGGGTTCTCCACGGATTTTCATTCTCTGCAGAGCAAGCACAACTATTTGAGTGTTGAAAGTACATTTACTGTTTCTTATCTATAATGTATAATGGCACAGGACTAATATCAAATAATTCCTAATTGGTCTAGGTCTGTTTGTTCTGAAATAGTTCTTTCCTTCTGGCATATACAAGTAAGAAGCTATACAACTTGACATAGATGCAAGCTCCGCCATTACTTCAAATGAAGTAGTTCACAACACCTTAGACAAGAAGCCAAGGATCAGCAAGAAGAAGAGCTAAATTTAATGGCAGATGAAAAGTCCGACACCGATGCTACAGATGGTGGAACTAGTTGTTTTTTGAATAATTTCAAAACCACTGCCGACTCCATTGAGGTGTTAATTACTACCAGTAACATGGGTGAGAAGTTTTCAAGTGAAATTGCTAAAATTTGGTCAGAAATTGATAGCATAAAGTCTAATGTATTACCAACAACACACAAGAACCATCAGTCCGAATTACTGCTAGAGCTAAATGAGCTTCGACTCAAGTGTTCAACTTACAAGTCAATCATCGACAACCTTGAAATGGAAAAGGCTAGTCTGCTCGAAGTTATAAAAATTCTCTCGAGTTCAGAAGATTGCGAAAACTCTGCCCCCACACATTCTTCAATGAGCAATGAACCAACTGATGGTTGGTTGATGTACCTGAAGGAAATACCATGTATGAATAAAGTTACCATACCATACCATTTCTACTGAGTGAAGTATTTAATTTATTACATGACTTCTTAAGCTATTTGAGAGCCCAATCTCAACAAATTTAATTTTTTCCATTTGGATAATCATTGCTGGAACATTTCATTTTTATGATAGAAACTCTTCTACAAGAAAAAAAGTTGTTTATTGTGGTTATGACTACAAAAGTACAGTCTAACCTGCATAAATGCACATATATCTTACCTTGCTGTAAAAGTTCCTCCCTGCTCATGTTCCTCTAACACTCCATCATGTCTAAACAGTAAAACCACAATATGTGTGTCACAGATAAGCATCACTGCACAGCGTTGATCAAGATCCACACACACCAAAGGAGGCTAAAAATACTCTTGATTACAACTCTGTAGTGTGATACAAGGAATAAAAAATGACTGTAAAATTGGGAAAGTACCATCCATCACATTATCTATCATGTGAATTCATGTTGCCATTTACAGAGGAGGAATATCAGGAATGGTGAACATACACAACAACATGAAGAAAGTTGTACAGACCCAAGTTATTTTCAAGTTTTGGAGCACAGATGGCTTTGGCCCCAAACTTTCAAATATACAGGTCCTTAAACAACTTGGTAAGTATAGTTTATAAAACAAAGCTTTTGGATTCGTTCTTCCTTCTTGGCAGGTCTGTGTGGAATTTTTCTGCTGTGTAAACCAACTTTGAATGGACTGCTTGAAAGTGATTGTCCATTACATAATCACCACTAAACTGATGAAGGGCAAAAGGAACTTTGTGAGGTGACTTTCGCCTGTATCCTACCTACTCTACTTAGTTTAACTTCTGATGTATATAAAAAAGTCTTTAGTGGGCAAAAAAGTGTATTACAGGCCTTAGAATCAGTGTTTGAAATCACCAAGTGTGCCAGCTTAAGTTACCAGAAATATTCATCATATCACTCTCTATATTTGGGCAACTTTCTACTTTCCAAATCTGGTGCTTTTCTTTGAGGCTGGATTCTGATTTAATTGTTGGTTACAAGTTAACTAACAAAAGCCTGTTACAAGTACATTTCACACTTGATAGCCCAAATAAATACTGATACCTTAAGTAAATACTGACCTCCTGTCTTGTCTGATGATGTTGATCCTGTTAAATTATGCTAAAAGGAAGACATCATAGATAAAAAAGTTTAATAACAAATAATAGCCAAAGGCCCTGTGAACATTACTTAATAGTTAAACAGAAGGTAGAGACCCAAAGTATTGATACCAAGGCATATAAATAAAGCGTGAGAAAACAGCCATTTCATTTTCCAACTATAGTCAATTCCCTTCGCCAGCCCTTCAGCCGCCATATTGTTTGTTTACCTTCGATCATTTTGTTTTGAAATTTTATATACATATTTTGATTTGACCACTTAAACAATATATCCTTTTCTGGGTACCAACTACACAGCCTGAGGAAACCGTTGACCACTAGGAAAAAGAGACGTCGGAAATAGTTTAACTACTTAGGAAATTTCGCTTTCAAGTAATTAACAGTGTAATTGTGAAGAAGGGCTCCCAAAAAACCTGTCGGCCGACTGTCGGCCAACAGGTTTTGCCCGAAATATAGGCTACCTGTCGGCCGACAGTGGACCGACAGTCGGCCGACAGTCGGCCGACTGTTGGTAATGTGTCGGTAACCTGTCGGTAGCTTGTCGGTAGCTTGTCCGTGAAACGTTAACACAAACCTTAATGTTTTCTCTCGGTTTTCGCTTGATACAACATCCAACATGTGTAATACGTTGACAATTGACTTTCAAGATTTGGTGGCTCCTAAAGGAGCCGTTTTGCGAGTGGTGAAATATACAAGATACTTCACTCGTACAATCGTGATTTTAGCGGCGCGCGCCTAAATCAATTATCGCATCACGCATCCAAGTCTAATTATCGAATTGTTGCGTATAGTAATTTATTACTTAACATAACGAGTAAAAAGATTCACAGTTGTATCATTTATTAAACTTGAAATTGGAAATAGCAATTTATCCCAAACCTGCAAGATAGAGGACGATGTTAGCAAGACAAATGCACAAGGTAAACATTATTGATACATACATAACATACCATAAGAGGCAGCGTTGCATTGTTGGGCGATTTGAACGAAATTTTTTGTATTGATACGTAGCTTATGGTTATCAGAGTTTTTGGCCGAGTTTTTCGATTAAATTATCTTCCAATGCGATTCTTAGATTGTCTGGTGTGTTGTAAATTACGCAAGTGATATATCCTATACGCATCTGATAACAACATTTTGGAAGAAACGTTTCTTTACATACTTTCAACTTTGCCGTCGATCGGTAAGTAGGTGAAGTCTGTCGAGTCATACATCACCATTACGGATTGTTATGTCACGTTTACTGTTCGTTTTTAACACAATTTTTCTTTTTTCTTAACCTGTCGGTAACCTGTTGGTTAGCTGTCGGTAGACTGTCGGTAACCTGTCGGCTGACAGTTGACCGACAGTCGGCCGACAGGTTTTTTGGGGAGCTCTTCTTCACAATTACCTATTTGTCTACACCTGATAATCGAGCATGATATTTTCAATAATACAACAACTGAATTCCCCATTAAACGACTCACGGAACCCATCTCCTACCTCGTCTTGGGTATAAAACTGGTAAATACGAAGCTGTGATGTCCCCACCGCAACAAGATTGTTTCAGCTAACGAAAATATTTGACAGTACACGCAGTGTTCGACTCCTGTCGGAGGGTGTGTTTGTTTATAAATCGCATACATCCTCTTCAAAATAATAATGACAATAAAAAAAAACAGAATCTCCTGCAAATAACTGAAATTTATAACAGGAAAAAGGTAACCGAAGAAGTTCAGTAACAAAAAGGCATGAAACTGAATGCAATATTCCTACTGTTTGAGAGGGGAGTTACTACATCACGGGCGACGAGCGGGGATAGAAAAAACGACCCAAATATGAGCGGTCAGCGGTGAAACAGCTTTTATACTTCATATAGAGACATATAATTTGTTGTTCCAGAGACAATCGTGTTGTAAAGCCGAAATGTTAACAGTTTACTTCACAGTTTAAGCAATTTTTCAAAAGTGTTGATTGAACTCATATCTTTTACTGCTTTAATAAACAATGGAGGCTTCGGAGAGGGAGTCAGTGGCATTTGGAAAGGCACCAAGAATAATTATATATATGGTTTGTAGCTAGCTGCGTGACGTGTGTAACGTTAAGATAGATTTTCACGAGCGTCAATGGTGCAGAATCGTAACTTGATGGAGCCAACAGTGGATAACATCCCAGAATTCAAACTTTGTGATTTTTTTCTCGGCTTAAACGCTAAGTCAGTTGTTCAATTGAATAGGAAGAAAAACATTTCGAACGGAAAACAGCATTATTTGCACGTGTGGATCTTTTGAGAAAAGGTCTCCTAAACGAGTGGTCTTGATTGTAAATATTTAAGGAATGGTAAATACATTAGCCTTAACATGGCTGTTTCTCGAAGCTCAGTGTTTTCCTACTTGCCTTTTTTCCACGTGAATTGGGGGCGATTGAATAGATATAATATGCAGTAAAAGAACTTCAGCTGATAGAAATTTTAAATTTCTCATCTTAGGCTGTGGATACAAAATTCAAGTGAAAAGGAAGCCAACTGTGATTAATGCTTTGAACAAGTCAAGATACGTTTTTTTCGTCACACAACAAGTTACATAACGTGAATATCATTCTTCTTGATGCCTTTCCCGGTGTCACCAATGCCTTTCCCGATGCCTCCGTTGGTTAATAGAGCATTAAAAGTATTGTTCCAGTTAAAGCTTGAGGAAAATTGCTTAACTTTTTAAGTAGCGAAGTGTAACTTGGTAACATTTCGGCTTTACAACACGATTATTTTCTGCAACTACAAAACGTACATTTAATTCTTCTTGGTACCTTTCGGATGCCACCGATGCCTTCATTGTTTATTAAAGCAGTAAAAGATATATGTACAATCAACACTTTTGAATTGCTTAACATTTTATTTAGCGAAGTAAACTGTTTACACTTCGGCTTTACAACACGATTGTTTCCTGATACTACAAATGATCTGTCTGTATATGAAGTATGAAAGTTGTTTCACCGCTGACCACTCGTATTTGGGTCGTTTTTTCTATCCCCGCTCGTCGCCCGTGATGTAGTAACTCCCGTTTGAGAGAAGAAATCTACCAGGCCTTTCGCTTTGACACCAGGCCTCTTTGGGAGATTCCACCACTGAGCGTCATTGCCATGGAAACGATTTCTGGTGCATTTTGTTCAACAAAGTAGTTGGAGACTAAGAAAAGAAAAAAAGAGGTCGTGAATATAGAATCTTGGTGCACCGTCGAACTCAACTCTAAGCAAGATTGACTGCGTACTATAAAAACGTAATGAGAATCAGGAATGTCTAATTGTTTATTACGAGCGCTGGGAAAGAAAGCCAACCGACACGTGTTCGCTTTTAATCTGACAAACAAACAAAAAAGGTATGTTTTATTTCGTTTTTAAAAAAAAAAATCCAAAAAGCAATCTCAGCTCTTGCTCTTAGCTCGAAACTAACTTTCTCGTTTTCTGACGATAAAACCACTTCCATTATTTTTAGATTTTTGTATTTTCCTTTTTTTTGTGGCATAATAAACCCACGAATATCGTTTATGTCTTTTTTCGTTTTTATTGTCTTTTCACAGGTAGACCACACTGTGTTCGTTGACGTGGGACGAACAAAATCTATGAGGGTTATGAATAAAGTACTGAAAATTGAGCATAGAAATTAAATGTCGGTCCAAATATCTCAAGAAATGAAACGCTAAACGACTCATGCATGGTTCTTTTTTGTCTTCATGGGACGTTTGAAGCGTCTCTTTACGAAATCACTTTTGGTCGGAGGTTAGTAAGAGAAGAAAAGGGGACAAGGCCAATGTGCGTTTATTGTGCAACAAATAAACATGATCGTTTTTTTCTTCGTTGATGGGTGGGGAGGGGGCGTTTTCGTGGACCTCCACTTCCTCTCGTTTCACAAAAACGCGAAAATACCTAATAGATTATTCAAATCACAGAATACAATGATAAACGTGATCGGCAAAACCTGAAGACTGACTGTACATTTTACTGCTTCAGTTTCTGACACAACTGATTGACATTGACTGCATTATTAAAGCCCTGGGCCATGGGCCATGGGCCAAAAAACATTTTCGCGACGTTTTATAAATGCACACTTGATAAGTTCCAATTCACACCGAGAGGAAATATGAAGAGACTGTAATAGTAGAGTGGAGACTATATGTGTAGTGAAAAAAAATGAAAATAGCTTTTAAATGATAGAAATCATGCTGCAAGTTTCTATAACTGTGATTTTGAATGTGAGAATCAAATATCAATGCCAGAATAAAATACATGCGTTGTATCAACTTACCCTCTTTACCATTCCCTCCCCAACGATACATAGTTAATATTAAGGGATTTACACCACGTGAGTCAACTCAGAACATGGAACATTTGATGACTTTGGAGAACATGGCTACTCTAGAAAAAGTAGTATTACATGTGAGACCACTACATTTAATTTTTCTTTGAATAACATTTTGTGCCTTTTTGATTCATTTTAGATCATATAAATCTCTTTAACTATATAGAGGTACCTTACTTGGTCTCTGCAGCATCATTATCATGATCAATTAATAATTATCAAGCAACATAAGCAACCATAGACCTATGATCCAGCATCCATGTGAATTAGGTAGAAAGCAGGAAGACACTTCAGATTTATCTGTGATTCAAAGAACCAATCACAAGCAGGACACTCTTAAGACTCTAAAACCCGAATCCCTTCAATCAACGACAAGTTTCTCATGTCAATTCTGATGTTAAGGATCCTTCTCTCTTGTTATAAACCTCTTGATTTAAGGGAAAAGTCAAAAGAAATAAAGTTATCATTTTAAGAAATACTTTTATTAAGGAAAAAGAGTCAAGTTTTACTTTGGTTTCACTATCTATTGAGTTATTTTCCACTCTTTGTTTGAGCTCTCATATAAGAAAGGACGAGTTTCCCTGGAAACGAATGCCTTTCGAGTGGTAAACATGGCTACCGAGTCGGGCGCTAGACAAATAGATTTTCAAAATGTCTGTGTTACCGACGTAAAAGAACGAAAGAAATTCTTAGGTTAAGATCTACAAATTTAACGAAGAAGATGATTTGAGGTCCGGGATACTTCTTGATATTCATTATGACATGTTGGCTTATTTTGTTAACAATGGATTTCCCTGGCGAGAAGAAACTCTGCTGAAGAAGGTATTTCAAAATGTAGTGAACGAAGTACAAGGTTAGCTATTACTTTCAATTCGTCGATCGATGAGCGTTGTCGCTGCTGGTGTTATGTGCTAACTAACTATGGATTCAAGTCTGGTTGAGATATTAAACACCACTAGCTTAGCCACATATCAGCCTTTCTTTTTTTGATCGTGATTTACTACGTACAATTATCCCACACTGTCTAAACTCATTCACTGTCTTGTGTCTTTGACATGTACAAAATATAACGCACAAAATATAGGACTTGTCGTATTCAGAACAAATGATTTGGTCCTATGCAAGAAATATGTCACCAAAATCTTATGGCTGAAAAAATTATGTAGTTGAATGTTGTGGAAAACAGAATGCAAAGTTCTTGTATGACATAAGATCTTGGTCAAACGCTTACTGTTTTGCTTGTGTAAGATCTGAGTCTGCAAATTTGGAGATTTAATCAATAGATTTGGACTTGAAGGTGGTACATGTTTTAAATTTTTCTGCGTACCTAAATTTAGTCTTTGTTGAGTCACTTATGCATTTTGTTTGGAGCAATATTGGACAAAAATCTCCCTTTTTATTCCAAGACTTAATGCTTAAGTTAATGATTAGCTGTAAATATTCTATTGTATTGTGTAATGTATACTTTTCTAGAAAGTAAAATCTTATGACTTGTGTTGCAATGCAGTTTAAGTCAACTAGAGCTCTCAAGTCCATTTGCTGGCAAAGAGTGAGATTTTATGGGCATCACCTATCAAGGGTGGGAGGGGAAGAGGGTATGGGTCATGTTCTCCTGGAAAATTGTAAAAAAAATGAAATAGCTAAAATGTGCATTTCTTTAATCTGAGAGAGAATTTATGCTGTTAAAAAGTGTGCAAAATGAGTGCATAGGGAACTAGGTGTAAATTATATTTGGAAGGATAATTTTATAGGTACTTAATGAAAGCAGCAGTTTGCTATCTCAAAATCAACAAAATAAATGCAAAACCTTGAAGGAGTGAGAAATAATGGCTTTAGCATGAGAGTGTAAGAATGAATTTGTTTGTGTGAGTCTCACACCCAATGCATGAGACTTGATAGCTGTAAGTCAACTCAACACATTTAGCATACTACAGCATTTTTTGCTTTTGTTTTGTTTATGTATCCAGTCAGTATGGTGATTTACAAGGGATTCTTCAATTCTTGCCATTTATTTATTAATGGTACTGTAAATTTTTAGTGGGTAGGGAGGTTCAATGTAAAAGGAAATGATAGGATGAGGGCTGGAAGAATAAAATAACATTTCAATATTCCAAAAGGAAAAAAATTTCCAAACTTGAATATGTCTGTTCTATCTTTAGAATGATGTTCACCAACCAAGTGTCAAGCACAAAAGCAAAATCAAAAAGTGGAATTTAATACAATTAAAATAGAGGAAATATATTTTCAAGAGGGTGAAAAACAAAGAGACAATTGTAATGTTGTAATCAATGCTGTCTCCACTGCCTTGGGTGTAAACTTCACCAATAACTATTTTGTTTTGATCAGGCAAACCCCTTGAGGAGGCTATAACAATGTTTATACAACAGCTCAACAGAATTGCCCATTACTCCTGTGAAAATAACCTCATATCTATGATAGATTTTGTTTTCATGGCATTATTTCAACACCAAAAGCTGTATCAATTTGTTCTGACACAAGAAAGAGCTGATGAGATCACCAAGTGTGAGCTGATTACTGAGTCAGTGTTGGTTCCACAAGCTATGAGGGATGGTGTACTTAAGAGTGTTTGGGATGAAGAACAGAGAATAAAACACATTGAAGAGATGGAACAAAAATGCATCCAGGTATGTGACTGTGTATGCAACCATTGACTAGGTAGCAAGTTAACTTAAGAAGTAATGTCCATTCTAAGAAGTTGTACTGCCTAACTCACCTCAGAACCTTTCTTACTTGAATCAGTCAAATTTAATGTGTATCATGCTCTTTGTTAAGAATGACAAATTTTACTGGAATAAAAGTGTAAACTTGTATATACAAAATCAAGCAAGGTTGTTTATGGTGGACTGGGACTGACAGGTAAATACTGTCTGTCCTAACTTTAAAGCCATCTGGAAGTACTGGTTATTAAAGAAGATGCATTCCCTCTAATGTTTTCTCAAATGTTCCTCTTTATTGGAGTAATTAGTGCTACAAAAGAAAACATAGTTAAGCACATCTGTTTCATTATGAAATGGGTGATCATTACACATTTGAAACTGTATTGTGACACCATATTAAACAGTCACCCTGTAACAAAGGGGTCAGTTGTCAGATTTTCTCCCCTTAATTACTGTACTGTAATTTTTACCTCTTTAAGTGGTCATGGTCATCCTTGACTGAGTCCCAGCTTCCTGTTGAACAGTCACTAAAGCAGAATCTCTCCAATAAAACTAGGAATAGTACTTTGAGTTTAAATGTGCTCAACATGTTGCAAATTATCTAATTCTTCTTAGAACTGTTGGGACAAATATTATGCACAAACATTACACAAGTCAATCGGCCCATAGATATGACCTAGAGGTCCAACTGATAGAAAATAGTAGACAGTAATTCTGCTTTAGTGTTCTGTTTTTATGCTATGTCACCATTTTGTTGATTCTGTTTATTGGTATTAACAAAGAGTCAATGCATCTTTTAGCAAGCTTTTGAGTAAACTTTAAGTTAAGCGATCAATTATGGCATAAAATAGCATTTTTTTTACAGCATTTGACTGCTATTCTGTGGAAACTGTTTCAGTAGTGTCCTTGCAATTCCCTATGGGTGACTGCTTAATACAGGTTTGACTGTATGCTTTTTCTTCATCAATCACTGCTACTCAACACTGATACTATTCTCTTTACTATTTAGGAAAGAAATGAAGTCCAACAAGCTGTCCAGCAACTGGAGCAGCAGTTTTTGGAGTTTGACTCATCACCAGAAAACTTATCAGCAGAAAATTTAGCCACAATTGTGGCTATTATGTTACTGCTAAAAAAAGGCTGTTGTGACAAGCACCACTATCAGTTATAAAATCAAAGAAATGCATGATTCTTTTGAATTCAAGTGCAAATGGGCCACTGTTAGTCAGGAGAATGACAAGGGAGGAAAAAAATCTGCAGCTTCTAGTCGTTGTTCCAAAGGAAATTCTGGAAAGTAGTGATCTCATTGCACAAGTATACTTTTCAGTTGTAATTGTACTTTGGTATAATTTTTAACTTTCAGGCAAGTTATTTTAGGGATAATTTCCCATCTTTATTTATCATTTTATTGACATTATGCTCTAATTATGTGTAGCTTTATGGACTCAGAGTTAACTTTTCTTCTTTTCAAACTTATGATTGATAATACTTTAAATTTCAGATGAACCTCTATTAAAACATCCACTGAATTTTTCTTTCCTTTTGCATGACATTATATTGTTGGGTTGTTGATTCTTAGAAGAAAATGTGCATATGCAAAGGCTCAGAAAATTTGTCCACAACAAAATGAACATTTTTGGCATCACCTGGCATTTCTAAACAAATGGAGATATTTCTCCAAACAGGTTGAAATAAGGTTTTCTGTGGAACTGAGTGGAAACTGGAAGAAGCCCTGCCCTGCATAGGTGTCTCTGTTCATGAGATTTTCACTCTCAAGATCTCATTAGTAATTCTCCTTACTGTTTGCCATATAGTTCTTGTGATGTTAGTTTTGAGAATTTGGTATTGAATCAATTAATAAGCTAATTAATAGTTTTCTTTATTCTCATCACTTGTCTGCTTGATATTGTATTGATATTGTAAGGAGAAATTCTGTCTTGGTCACATATGGGAGTGTAAGGGTTAAGTCCTGCAAAAATAATAAAATCTGGGAATGAAAGTGTTGAAAAAAAAGTGAGGAGCAGTTTCTTGTGTTATTTTTTTTCTTAGCTGCAACAAGTGAAAATCTTTTGAGGTTTCCTTGTTTCCTCTTCCCATTCTTTTTACATGTGGGATATATTTCATTTCTCTGATTTCTTTCCATTATTTAATTTTTGTGTGTGCTGAGGTCCAGTGATTTCATACATCTTGCTTTAAAAAAGGTTAATAGGTGTCCTTAAAGTAGCCAGGAACCTATTCAAGGAAATATTTTACATGGATTTCATGTCACTTGCATTCCACACTTCCTTAGATATTTTGATGTTGGTTCAAGACATAGTGTTGAATTTTTTCCTTCAATGTTAAAAGAAGGAGGAGAAAATCATTTAATTTGAGATAGGGTAGGGGTTTTTTCTAAGGGCTGTTTATACCCTCCCCTTGAGGCAGTCTCTCTGGTAGATTGATAGCTTTTGACTGATATTGAAAAGGTGACTCCCCTCCCCCATTAGCTTCCAAGTTGTGTCTAACAATTGGGGCTGGATATATCACAACACAAAGTTGAAATCATTCTACAAAATTTATTCTTCAATGACAAATTAGGGAGGTCTGGCTCCATTAACAATGACTAGTAAGTTAAAATCTTTACTGTTCAAGTCTGATACTTCATCTTTATATTTTGAACTGCAACTCTGACAAGTAACAGCCAACGAATAGGTACAAAAATTACATTAATATTTACAAAAAAAGCTGAAACCTTCCGGAAAAAAATTATTTGAATGTGATATAAATCTTACAGCTATAACCTACAAAAAGGCCTTCTCTCTTTGAAAGCGTGATGATTTGATTTACAATTTGGTTACAATTCTTTTTTCGATATTTTGTTGGAAGTGTGAAACTACTTGAACCGGTTCGCTTCAATCGGAAAACAATGCAGAAAACACGAGAAATAAAAAAAACTTGGTAAGCAATCTGTGGTGTTTACATTCATCTGATGCCTTTAAAATCTCCCAAAACACTTCCAGCGAACAAAACTTACAAGAGCATGGAGAGAATTTAGGATCGAAACTGACCAATCACAAAATGACAAAGTTTCCTGAGAGGTCCGAGGTTTGTTTGTTTTCTCTGCAGGAAGCTTTGTGTTTTTACTTCAATGTTATTGGTTCGTTTATAAAAAAAGTTTGACATCCTTTGTTCTCAATAAACATGTTCATTGGTTCATTTTTCTTCATTTCGATCCGGTTCAAATAATCTCGCTGCTCTGAGCACTTTACAGATTTGCTTTGCTTTTATTCATGTTTTGAGTCATTGGGTTGAAATTGTCACTGAGCTGGTTACCTCACTGATATTTTGAATAGTAAGTGGTTCAAATAATTTCTTTTCAGTTTTTAATTAGAATTGCTGAGGCCTAAAGAATTAGCTTACATTTAGACTGACTATTGCTTAGTAAATTACGTGCCTTTTGCTTACCTGCTTTTGAGATGTTTAAATTGAATTAGAGGTTTGATGTGTGTAGCTGACAGTTGTTGTTGTTGATAGCTTCAGCCAACTGCTGTGCTCCAATGTGTGAGATGTTATTGTATGAGAGGTTTAACGTGTGAAGCTGACAGTTGTTGTTGTTTTTGATGGCTTCAGCCAAGTGCTGTGCTCCAATGTGTGAGATGTTATTGTGTGAGAGGTTTAACGTGTGTAGCTGACAGTTGTTGTTGTTGATGGCTTCAGCCAAGTGCTGTGCTCCAATGTCTGAGATGTTATTGTCTGAGAGGTTTAACGTGTGTAGCTGACAGTTGTTGTTGTTGATGGCTTCAGCCAAGTGCTGTGCTCCAATGTCTGAGATGTTATTGTATGAGAGGTTTAACGTGTGTAGCTGACAGTTGTTGTTGTTGATGGCTTCAGCCAAGTGCTGTGCTCCAATGTGTGAGATGTTATTTCCTGAGAGGTTTAACGTGTGTAGCTGACAGTTGTTGTTGTTGATGGCTTCAGCCAAGTGCTGTGCTCCAATGTCTGAGATGTTATTGTCTGTGAGGTTTAACGTGTGTAGCTGACAGTTGTTGTTGTTGATGGCTTCAGCCAAGTGCTGTGCTCCAATGTGTGAGATGTTATTTCTTGTGAGGTTTAACGTGTGTAGCTGACAGTTGTTGTTGTTGATGGCTTCAGCCAAGTGCTGTGCTCCAATGTGTGAGATGTTATTTGCTGAGAGGTTTAACGTGCGTAGCTGACAGTTGTTGTTGTTGATGGCCTCAGCTAAATACTTTGCTGCTTCATCTGTCAATTGATTTCCTGTGAGGTTTAACCAGCTCAGTTGAGATTCCCTACATTTTAACAGTTTACAAATCTCAAGACAACCTAATGGACCAATGTTATTTTCACTCAAATCTAAATGTGAAATTTGTTGAACATTAATTACATTTACTAACGAAGAGCAATCAACAGCTGTGAGGTGACAACGAATAAAATTTACACAATTAAAGTTCATTTGTTGAAGTTTTCTCTGTGCTTCTGACTTCATTCTGCTATTTTCGTTTAAACATTTAATTAATGTTACTGCTAATTCTCGTTCGTCTTCAGTCGGCCAGCAGGTTACTTTTCTTTTCTCTTCATTCTCTGTCCACTGTTCGTTGTAGTCTGCGCTTTCTTTTTCTTCAGTTTTCACAGGAAGAAGGTCCGTGATAATTTCGCTTGGTAGGTCAGTTTTATTCTCCATTAATCCTGCTAGAAACTGAAAAACCAGCTGCCATCTGCCGTTCTTGATGTTCTCGGAAACAAAGTTTTTTAATTCTGTTTCACTCATATTGTTTGCCAGGTGTCTCGCGGCGAAAAACTCTTGCATTGTCAGATGAATGAAACAGAATTGTGGTTCAAGATTAAGCGTGTCAGTTTTACGGTCGGGTAAGCGGTGAAAAAGAGCGCTGTCTCCCATTCCTTGTACCTCGTTTCCTCCAAGGATCAGTTTTCCATCTTTGATTCCGTCAAAGGCTACTTTTCCTAGTATCTTGAAATTCTCCAGTACATCTTCGGGCAAATCATGTTCGAGAGGAAACAAAATATTGCACAATTCTATTGTATGTTTAAAATAAAACACTTTCACTGCAATATTGTATATCAATGTTAATTTGGAAGGGAGGGTAACGTCAGCGGAACTTTCGGACTCTTGTCTTCGCATGATTTCTAACAGACTTGTGCAGATGATAAAGCTGTTGACCGGGACATAACACAGCGAGAGCAAATTCAAGTTGCTACTGATGTGTCGCCATAGTGTTTCGCCCACTGCCTTTTCATCTCCGGCCAATTTGTAGACATATTCTTCAACTTGTTCCGATGAGAATCCTAGAACCTCGTAAATTTTGTCAAACGGAAGGTGTTTGATGCTCGACAAAGCCGTAGGTCTCGTGGTGGTCACAATTGAGGCATCTTCTAGGAGTTTCCCGGTCACAAGCCACTGATAAAGGATTTGGAGCGGCTTTTTCTCTTCATTGCTTCTGGGATAAAGAGGCGCCCCGACCACGTTTGCGTCATGTTTAAATTCGTCGAATCCGTCAAAAAGTATGAGTACACCTTTAGGGTTCTCAAGCAGGTGATTCCAGACCTCGTCATCTAGATGATCTGTTGGGAAATACTCGGACTGAATTAACAGTTCCTTGAGGCTAAGGTCGTTTGCCGATTCGAATCTTCTGAATTTCACGAAGAAAGCGGCATCAAAATGGATTTTGGCTCCAGCTGTCGCTTTAAAAATTTTATTAAATGCCCAGTCTCTGACAAGTTTGGTACAACATAATGTCTTGCCGATTCCGGCTCGACCGACGATTAACACTTTCTTATTTTCAACATTTAGGAGGTCTTCCAAGCGTTCCGGATGTGATTTTTTCCCGCGCGACCTTGGATAAATTTTGAGCTGTTCCTCTCTGTTTTCAGTAAAGTCATACGTAGCTCTGTTCGGAATCACAACAAGATTTGTGTAAATTTGATCCAAAGTCAAATGTTTAACTGTTGTGTTTTCGCCTGGATTACCTGAAAAAGGTGATTGGAGTTCTAAAAGTCCTTCGGTCTCTTGAGCAATTATTTCCTTTGTCCGTTCGATGAATTCTTGAAACTTTCGTTCTTGGAGTTCTTCAGTGTCTCTTTCAGTGAGTGGAATAGTTTCGTTCCTTCCATCTAGGTGTTGGTTGAGACTTAAGTGGGTTTTTAGAAACATTGAGTCTTGCATGAAACTCCTTTCAATGCATGCCCGTGAAAAAAGGTAAACGGTTTCAACCAGAATGGTAACGACAAGAATTCCATTCACAACAAGGACAGCGTCCATCCAGGAGGTTTTCTTTGCCGCTCGTTGATTGTGACAATCGTATAAAGTCGAGTGTTGGGCGTTGTCAGTTGAATTCCTTGGCTGAGTGGTTCCATCGGTTAAATTACAGTCAAACTTGGAGGAAAACTTTAAAGGATAAAGTAACTGAGTTTGTAGGATGATGAAAAGAACTCCTAAAACAAGTCTAGTGAATAGTTGACAGCAGTAAGCGATAAAAAGCTTATATCCCGTCGATAATGCGTTCCCTTGGTCGCACGGCTGTCCCTCTGAATCACCGTCACGACTGCTTGGCGACAGTCGATTGACTGTTGGTCTTACTATTAGGGAGTAGATAACACATGCAGATATAATAAGGACGAAATTCGTGATTACGAAGCCATAAACAGGAACACCGAGTTTGTTTTGTTGCTTCGCGTATTTCTCGTAACATTTTCCCTGGACGGCTTTGATGTTTTCACTTTTCGCTCCGCCACAGTTGAAATCAAACCTGGGTTCGTTGTATTCCATGTCGGCGAATATACCAAGGAAGATGACACCAATCACGCTCCAAATAACCACTACCCCAAAGGGAATTTTGTTGAAAGTTTTTGGTTCCAAATAATCTAATAGCTTTTCCATTGACATTTTTGGTGATTCCGTTATCTTCGTTTGAGTACTGATTTTCTCCGGTTCAATTGAACTGCTAATTCGATCATAGTGTATTTAAAGAGATACAGAACTTTTGTTTGATTGGCTCTTTGAAAACTTTCAACTGTCAAAAAGGCGATGGCCTATGCAACGTTTACTTGTTTACATAAGAAACAGATATCAGACTAGTTCAGCCGGATACAGATATGTATTGTTTCAAAAGATGCGCTTGACCTCTTCATCCACCCGCCCCCCTTTGCTCATTTCCATACACCTTCGATCTTCTTTCCTATGAAAATTCAGCGCGGAAGCCCAGTAGACTTGACTTAACTTCTGCTGTCAAACCCAGAGTACTTATGTTGATTACTTTGCAGCTTTAAGCCTGCTAATTTCTAAGCTACCAAGTATCACCATTTTCTGCAGTATTCACTTGAAAAGAGATTTGTATTTCTTACTTAATAGACGCCAACACACCAGGGTGTTATGCAGGTCAAAGACTTCTTTTTTGCGACAGTGGGAGACGTGATGAAAGCACGGGACCGCGCAGAGGGGGGGGGGAGGGCTTAGCCCCCACTTTTTCGCAAAAATGAAAATAAATTGAACAAAAACAATTTAACAAAAATAACGGAGCCAAAAATAGCCCCCACTCAAAAACTTGCTGCGCGATCCCAGAAGAAACACTTAGTCTGTAGACTTAATAAGGTTGGATAACATAATGACGAGGCAAGAATGGTTCCGCGTCAAGCTAAACTTTGAATTGTCCACTTCCTGTTTAGGAATGAGTCCGCAAAACTGGTTTATTTTGACTATCACTTGTTTAGATTGGTAACAATAAGAACACAAACTATACAAAATTATTTCCGCCGTATTATTTAGTTGTAGCTCTTCGCGTTGCCAAAAAATTTCGAAGCATGTAAAGAGAACGCGGCGCCGGATCTACTTTGTTGGACGCGATCAATTGTTGAGGGGTTAAGAGGGCAATGTAATTAACTGATAGATTTGGCGCCAGATTGATGCTTGGCGGCAGGATAAGAGAGCTACAGGACAAATATCGTGACGATAGCGGAGAGCGCTAAAGACATCATGAAACTTCAGTTCCCCCCTGGTGACTTTAGACGTACGAAACAAACGACATTTGATTTTATAAACGAAAAGTATATGAGTGGAGGGCACTTCGCTCTCTCTGGGTGTTACTAAACTGTAGATTAGCAGACCGTAGAACCTGCCACCATTCTGCACCATGCTGCGAAACCATTAGTTTTTTGTAAAAAAAAAAAAAAATTAATTAATTAAAATAGAAACTAAAAATACCTTAACATTTCAAGAAATTTCGTTTTCGGGTTTAAAGAAGATAACGTTAACATACATTTATATATATCTATATTTAACAATTTTGACGTCCAATTACTGAAAACCCAAGCTCACACGGTGAGCCTCTGTGATTATGCAAATATTTTTCCGTTGCGCAATGGGTGAATCAGGGATTTGCATGGGAATAAACAGCCGCGCTCTCGACTTTAGAAAGATCTGGACGTGTTTTGAATAATACTTTGACAATAAAAATTTGACAAATTTACCCCGTTCAAGTGGTTGTTCTTTTGCATCGAGAGAATTTTTTTGGGCTGAGCTCGGTTAATTTAGCCCGGTTTTAGTTCATCTGCCTAACCCTCTACATAATCCCTTCCAAAACAAATCTGTGAGTAACGCCAACCGAGTGAATCCACTGGAAGCAAAACGCTATTCAATCACTCCGAACACCCCGATCACCCCAAAATTCGGCTTACTGTAATTTGCGAAACGAAACGAAACGAAATGAAAACCTGTAATTTGAGAAAAAAATTATTCTGAAACTCAAGAAAATAAAAGAGCTTGGGTCAGTTACATTTTCCTAGCAAACATGTTAGCGGAGCTCGCAGAGCGTAGCCCCATAATTATACAAAATAGTAGTAACCCATCAAGCCGAAAAAATTTGGATGTACGTTCGTACGACCGTTTCATTTTCACTGGATCATATTCCTCTACGCATCTGATTACATACAACTCCAACTACGACTCCATCGCTAGTTAAAACCAGCCTTCAGTCCCTCAGTCTGGGACTAACAATTGTTATTTCTTTATGAAAGTTTAATAAGTTATATGTAATGCATCAAAACAAACAAGAGAACAACTACAAATCAATACAGCCAACTTAAAGTGTTTTCAGAAAACTGCAGTTCACTGGTATTTCCTTAGCTTTGAGTTACAAAGGTGCTAAATAGTAGGAAACCTCTGGCTTTCAAACTTTAAGGCAATATCCAAGCTTTGATTGAAATCATTCTCAGGAATGAATTGTTGGGAGCTGTAACATCGCCAGGTGTACTGTTGCTGATGGCATGGAAGCTTTCTCATCATCATCAGGAATATATCTTAGCACAATGTTGTGAGGGAGACCATAAGGTGGAATTGATTGAAAGCCAGTAATGAACTGCAGCAGACATATGAGTTTCTCCTCACCAGCATTACATAATCCATGAACCAGTCATAGGAATGTAGCTGGGCAAAGTCAGAGGGCCTTTGTACACTGGCATCAAAGAGATTATTAAATTCATCAGGAGTGAGGGTTTGCTCAATAGAATTACAAAGCAGCTTAAAGCAGACTTCCTTGTTGTTCTTTGTGGCATCTAGGAACTCCAAATTCTTGAGACCTTCAGCGAATGAGTCTATCTCAAACTTCCTGAACGAAATTATTTCAGTCACCAGTAGGTTTTGTACAAGATGTGCCACATTCTTATCTGTTATCTTCTTGGTTATTGGCCAGTGAGAGGCATTTATCGCTGACCAGAAGGACTCAGAGGAAGGATGGTTGTGAAGGACTTTAGAAACATCTCCCTCCTGCAACTTATCCAGCAATTCATGCAAAACAGCAGTTTCTTCAATTAAGGAGAAAAAAAAAATTAAAACCTATCAGAAATGTTCCATTGTCACTTTATATGCCATATGGATTAACCCTTTAACTCCCAAGATCTCATTAGTAATTCTCCTTACTGTCTGCCATATAGTTCTTGTGATGTTAGTTTGAAGAATTTGGTATAGGATCAACTAATAATCCCCTAATTAAGATTTTTCTTTATTCTCGTCACTTGTCTGTTTGATACTGTATTGATATTGTAAGGAGAAATTCTGTCTTGGTCACTCATGGGAGCTAAAGGGTTAAGAGAGGAAATAATTCACTTGCCCTTTGATTCTGTTAATGTCAAAGCTCTATTAGGAAATGACCATTATTTTTGAGAAAGGGTGGGGGGAGGTTGGGCAATTTTTTTGTTGTTGTGGTAATTGCCCAACCCTCCCCTCAAAAAATAATAGTCCATCCCTAAGCCCTGTCTCTAACAAGCTCCTTGTTTGGAAGTATAATTTTTTTAATAACCCCTCTCTCTATAAACCTGCCTCTTCCCTATAAAAAGTGTACAAAATTAACTACATTCCAATGTTTTTGTGACCATAAATGTAACAAAAACTGTAAGTACACTAAAGTACCTGCATGTACCTCTGAACAACAATTTCTATCTGGTGTTTGGGGGAATCTGGAAACATTTCAGACAGTTGATCCACCCACAACCTTGTTTCTGTCTGTGTAACATATCTGAGAGGAGAAATCTGTCACTCCTGGGCTGCTTTTCCCCCTGTATTTCGCAGAGATTTAGGTAAGAAACCTCAGGAAGGGTGATGGCGTTCTTAACGATCACATATCAACATTTTCTCTTCGTCAACCACAGTCACACTATCAAATACATCCTTCTCTCCAGCTCTGTGACCAAAGTTTCACCGTTTTGCAACATGCACTGGCATTTGAACTTCTAAATTTTAAAACAACAACTGAAAAAATTATGAAAAAACTAAGAGGGTTTTTCATACTTTTGTGCTCTTTTGTCTTTGAGACTTTTCTTCCATCAGTCCTTGTTGCTGCAAAAAAAAAAAATATATATATATATATATGTAAATATGTATACTTTATGATCATTTAAAGAAGAGTCTACTTCCAGCTGCTCAACCAACAGAATCACAAGGTAGTGATAAAAATGCAAAACCCACTGGTAATTGACATGCACAGGTCAAACTTCCATCAAACAATCTACATTGGACGCCCTCTATGCGTAACTAGAGTATATACGCACTGGAAAACGGAATCTAGTTATTTATCTATTTTCATAACTTTTCTGGCTTTCTACATCCACTTTCTAATAGCAAACTATTCTTAATAAATTAAAACATGAGGTTTCCATCCTCCATGGTTCAGTGCAATATATGGATTTTTACCTGTAACTTTGGAAGACGTCAGATTCTTGCACTTCCTATAAACAGACAACAAAAATATTATTAGGTCAAAAAAAGTAACATGATGGTGGCATACTACCATAGATCTGAAATAACACTGCGCATCATTCATGTAGATTTGAACATCAAGAATAGCGACAATAAATTCATGTTGATAAGTCCTCACTATAAATTTATAAAAAATGTTTCTTCCCTTTTTTCCATAATACTAAAGATGCGAGTTTTTTTGCAGGATATGACTAAAGTAAAAGGGAAGAGAGGAGAGAACAGGAAACATCTTATATGGCTGACTACGATAACAAAAAATACCTCTTGTTTCTCTTAAGCATCACTCACTATTATTGCATCTGAGAAAGTTCAAATGCTTCTTTAAATGCGTTCTTTTTGATAGTTTTTTACTCCAAATAAATCACTGTCGAGAAGACACATAAAAAATTGAACTTTGACACAGTTGAAGATAGATTTTCATGTAGTCTCGTGTTGGTTACTACTTGGAATCTCACGACAAGTTCAGAGTCTTTATTTTATTAATTCTTGGAAATGGTTTTTGGAGGATACTCATCCTGTAAAAACAAGGATCCAGAAATGTCAATTTAGGTTGATACTAAAGGGTGTTCAATGTAGTATTACTACTTTTAACCTACCAATTGGCTTAGGAACAGCAAGAACTTGACTTCAATCAAAGAGCAGATTATTCAGGGACCACACAACTGGATGAGTGGGCTGAGATAACTACCAAAGCACATGTGTCATGTCGCATGGCAAGACGGCTGATAACAAACATATTGAGATTGGAATAAATAGACCACCCCACTTTAACGTACCTGTATACAGAAACATCCTTATGGCTTATCCTTAACTGTTTGTCAGAAAATAATTGATACCATTATTGTGCAATTGAAGCCAATGATATGTAACCATGCCATAAATAGAAAAAATAAAGCAAATATAACCATAACAGTGCTTTCAATAACATTCGAGGAAGGGGGCTACCTCGGTAAAGCACCTGTGAGAATAGTAAGAAAAACAATTTCCCTCTCGTTATCCCATTACTTCCATTCAGAATAAACTCACTCTAAAAAGAGTTTTCAGTGCTGAGTCCAGCATACACCTCACTTGTTATAAGGCCTGGCACCTCTGATGCTAAAATAACAGCTGGCAACAACTTTGTATGATTTGCAGAAACAGTTTAGTTTTAGTTTCATTGAAATAATTACCATTGAATTTTTAGACTGAACATTTTCCTAGGTTGACATTTGCCATTTGAAACTCATTTTTCTTGGAGACAACTGTACATTTTCACGCCCAAAATTGAAGAAGACCTCATAATTTCTAAATAAAAAGGGTAAATGGTCACATAAAAATGAAACATTCCTTTTCCACTAATAACAGTAAACTATTCACGATTTCTGTACTCCCTCTGGTGAACTCTTTAATAAAAGAAGACCATAACTTTTGGCCTTATTACCAGCACTGTAAACACAATGATTTACTCACCCTGGCCAAGTTTTCAGTGGTTCATAAAGTATTAACAGGGTAGGTTCATAGTAACCCTAAAGAAACTGAATATCTATAATGTTGCACAACTTTTCACAAATGTCTTTGAGGTTGATGGTGTAACTTGGTAACATGGGAGATCGATCACCACTAAAACAGAACATAACGAAAACAAAAATTTTGCAGGTCAGAATTTTAGTAGATTCTCCTCAATCTACAGAAATCAGTTCCCACAGAGAAGTACATGAAACACAACACCACCTTCAATGGCAAAAATTAGTTCCCAGCAGAAATTTCAGACATCCTGACCCCTAAAAAGTGTTTCCACAAAACACAAACAATTCCTAATTGCCAATTTGATGATAAAACTCCTTAAAAAAACTCTGATATTAGACCATACACAATCGCCATTGCTCATAAGGTACAAATTTAATCAAATAAACATGTACCCTGTAATAACTGTGAAAGCTAAATCAAGAAGAAACTCAATCTATGGCTTCAAAAGTGTGGCCATCACTTAAACTTGTTTACCTCACCACTGCATATTTTGTGTCTCAAGAAATGATTGCAAAATTAACAAATGAGTGACTGTTCCAAACTGAAAGTTATTACTTTTGATGTTAGTTTTTTGCCCTGCAATGGGGTCATTATTGAAAGAGAACTTGGAACGATTAATGTTATGCTTACTGATTGCACATTGTTGTTGTTTTTTATTTCTTGTTGCCAAAAGTTGTTGATTTTCAGGGACATCATCACATTGCTTACCTGGCAATGACCAAAATTTAATTATACTTTACAGATCTATACACCCATTGACATGTCTTCAGAGCAAGTTCTGTGATGCTTTTTGGGTATATTGATACAAAAATCAGGTCATTTATGCACATATATCATACCTTGCTGTAAAAGTTCCTTCCTGCTCATGTTCCTCTAATGCTCCTTCTTGTCTAAACAGTAAAACCACAATATGTGTGTCATAGATAAGCATCACTGCACAGCATTGATCAGGATCCACAAACACCAAAGGAGGCCAAAAATACTCTTGACTACAACTCTGTAGTGTGATACAAGGAATAAAAAATGACTGTAAAATTGGGAAAGTACCATCCATCATAAATTATTATTGATCATGTGAATATAAATTCACATTGCCACTTACAGAGGAGGAATATCAGGAATGGTTAACATACACAACAACATAAGCTCCAGCCATATGAGTCTCTTGGCTCTAGTACACACTTTACTTAACAATAGCTTTTATTTGAATTATAACCATTCTGCTATCAAGAAAACATTTTGTGATCAATTTAAAATTTTGGCTAACATTGTAGAGGTTTTACCAAAAAATTCTACTATCTTGCTTATTTTGTTGTCTTCAAAGAAATGCAAACTTTTTGTCTTCTGATCATGATGCCAGGATCATAATCCACCACACCAAACTGCACACATAATAAAATGACACTTATCAAGGAACACTTCAAAGAATCCAAATTTAAACATTTGGACATCATGTTAGATATCAAGGCTAATGTGTGCACCTTGACTTAAATTTTTCTTTTTTACCTCAGTCTACTAAAATCAATGGCAAAGAAGTAAAAGTGGAACAAACAATGACATAAAATGGAAAATCTTTCTCATCTGATACATTTCATTTAAAGTGCTTCATGAGTAATGTAATTTAATACAGGTCTTGTTAATATCTTAGGATTTAACGGGTGACAGTTGAATCTTTTGGAAATATTAGTTTATTGTTACATGCCTATTAAGGTTTCTCTTGCCAATTAATTAAATTCTCAGTGGCTGATTACAAATCAATTAGTTATTAATTTATTTAAAAGAACATTTTATCAAAATTAATGTTGACCCTTATATAAACTTAAGGTCCACTACATGATGTAAATAACATTCTAAATTGTAGAACATTTCTCCTTTAAATATGAATCGTTCATTATTCAAAAGTGACAGAATCTATGTTAACCCTTGAACTCCCAAGATCTCATTAGTAATTCTCCTTACTGTCTGCCAAATGATTCTCATTATGTTAGTTGGAAGAATTTGGTACTGGATCAATTAGTAATCCCATCATTGATATTTTTCTTTAATCTCATCACTTGTCTGCATGATATTGTATTGATATAGTAAGAAGATATTCTGTCTTGGTCACCCACAGAGGTTAAAGGGTTAATCAACTCAAAAGGCTTATTCTTCATTTGTGTAAACCCCCACAAAAAAAAAACAGTCCTTGATTTTATTTAATACAAACTCAATATGAAACGAAACTTGTGAAAGCTTGTTACAAGTACATCTCACACTTGATAACCCAAATAAATACTGATACCTTAAGTAAATACTGACCTCCTGTCTTGTCTGATGATGCTGATTCCTGTTGAATTATGCTAAAAGGAAGACATCATACATAAAAAAAGTTTAATAACAATTAATTGCCAAAGGCCATGTGAACATTACTAAATAGTTAAACAGAAGGTAGAAACCCAAGGCATTAATACCAAGGCATATAAATAAAGCGTGAGAAAACAGCCATTTCATTTACCAACGATAGTCAATTCCCTTTGCCAGCCCCTCAGCCGCCATGTTGTTTGTTTACCTCAAATCATTTTGTTTTGAAATTTGATATACGTATTTTGATTTGACCTCCTAAACAATATATCCTTTTCTGGGTACCAACTAGACAGCCTGAGAAGACCTTTAACCACTAGGAAAAAAAGAGACGTCGGAAATAGTTTAACTGCCTAGGGAATTTCGCTTTCAGATAATAGTGCATTTATGTCTACACCTGATATCGAGCGAGATATTTTCAATAGTACAACAACTGAAGTCCCCATTAAACGATTCACGGAGCCCGTCTCCTACCTCGCCTTGGGTATAAAACTCGCTGATACGAAGCTGTGATGTTCCCGCCACAACACGATTGTTTTTCAGCTGGTGAAAAAGAATTGACAGTACACGCAGTGTTCGATTCCTGTCGGAGGGTGTGTTTGTTTATAAATCGCATACATCCTTTGCAAAATAATAATAATAGAGAAATAATCTCCTGCAAATAACTGAAAGCTATAGCAAGCAAAAGGTAACCGAAGAAGTTCAGTAACAAAAAGGCATGAAATGGAATGCCATATTCCTCCTGTTTGTGAGAAGAAATCTTCCAGGCCTTCTGCTTTGACACCAGGCCTCTTTGGGAGATTCCGCCACTGAGCGTCATTTCCATGGAAACGATTTCTGGTGCATAAAGTTCTCAGTCTTGAAAGAAATGCTCACCGACAGCAACAAAGTAGTTGGAGACTTAGAAAAGAAAAAAGAGGTCATGAATATAGAATCTTGGTGCACCGTCGAACTCGACTCTAAGCAAGACTGACTGCGAACTTTAAAAACGTAATGAGAATCAAGAATATCTAATTGTTTATTTCGAGCGCTGGGATAGAAAGCCAACCGACACGTGTTCGTTTTTCATCTGACAAACAAACAAAAAAGGTATGTTTTATTTACGTTTTAAAAAGAAATCCACCAAAGCAAATTCAGTTCTTGCTCTTGGCACGCAACTAACTCCTCGTTGTCGGAGACTTTGATTCGTGCGTGACACATGTCAAATGATGAGTGTGAACATGGCTACCGAATCGGGCGCTAGACAAAGAGATTTTCAAAATGTCTTTTGTGCTACCGACGTAAAAGAAAGAAAGAAATTGTTAGGTAAAGACCTACTAATTTCAAAACTTAACGAAGAAGATGATTTCAGGCCCGGGATACTTCTTGATATTCGTTATGACATGTTGGCTTATTTTGTAAACAATGGATTCCATGGCGAGAAGTGACTCTGCTTTGGAAGTACAAGGTTAGCTTTCAATTCGTCGATCGATGAGCGTTGTGGCTGCTGGTGTTATGTGCTATCTTACAATGGATACAGGTCTGGTTACGGTATTAAACACTGTTACCTTAGCCACATATCAGCCTTTCTCTTTGTGATCGTGATTGACTTTCTGTACAATTATCCCACACTGTCTAAACTCATTCACTGTCTTGTGTCATTGACATGTACAAAATATATCCTACAAAATTTAGAATTTGTTGTATTCAGAACAAACGATTTGGTTCTATGCAAGAACTATGTCACCAAAATCTTATAGCTGAAAAAATTATGTAGTTGAATGTTGAAGACAGAATGCAAAGTTCTTGTATGACATGAGATCTTGTTCAAACGCTTACTATTTTGCTTGTGTAAGATCTGAGTTTGCAAATTTGGAGATTTAATCGATAGATTTGGACTTGAAGGTGGTCCATGTTTTAAATTTTTCTGCGGACCTAAATTAAGTCTTTGTTGAGTCATCTATGCGTTTTGTTTGGAGCAATATTGGACAGAAATCTCCCTTTTTATTCCAAGACTTAATGCTTAAGCTACTGATTAGTTATAAACCATCCTGTATACTTTTCTAGAGAGTGAAATCTTATGACTTGTGTAGCAATGCAGTTTAAGTCAACTAGAGCTCTCAAGTCCATTTGCTGGCAAAGAGTAAGA